TGTTGACATTAACACATTACTACCAGTCTTCCCGTAGCACCTGTAGCCTGCCTGCAGCACTCCTCGGGCCGCCACGTATCATTTACAAGCACCTTCACATTTCCTTATTCCTGTCAGTAAAGCAAATTGTGAGAATGATGAAATTCAAGCAAAAATGAGTGTTTGTGTACTTTAATGAGAGAAAACAGCCAACCAGTACTGGAAGTCACCTTCCATAAACAAAGGGAACAGCCAAAGTACTAGCAGTAATCTTCGGTAGCAAGTAGGGGATGCTGCCTTACCTACAAGGCACACTAAGGAGAGGGGGAGCCCACGGACACTGAGGAAGAGAACATTGGCAACAGTCCAGACCATAACAATACATTACTCTTCATGGCTGGGAATTCCTAATCAAGTTCATCTTAGATCGCTTATGGAAGGTGCTCTGAGAGCCTTTGGCGGAGTTTCCAGGCTTCATCACATTATTCCTCGGGAGAATGGCTCTAATAGCGTGGAAAGGATGCACTCACTGTCCAATATCACGGCAAGAGCCTGCCACCCACGGAAGCAGTTAGGCTCAAATGGAAGAATTAACTTAATAAAAAGCTGTAGAAGTGAACCCAAAATGTACATTTAGCACTAGAGTAACATAAAAGATGAGACGAAAGAAACCACGGAACATGGTGAGGAAATTATGATTTGGTTTACCTTAGTGACAATCAATTATGTAAACGATTTACAATTAATCACGTAAATATATTAATAAGTTCTTCAAAACTAATAGCATTCGTATCCACGTACATAAGGAGCTCACAATAATGTCAAATATCTATGAGAGAATCATTGGAGCAGGACTGGGTCCAGCCTCCTGGGTAGCCCCAGATTGATTTGAGTGTTGCCGCCGGAGGCGGCTAGTTTATTGTGCACCCCATACTCATCCTGTGAGCGGTAGCGCAAAAGCATTACAGAGGGCACAAAAGGTCTTTATCAGACCTCATCTTAGATTATTACATAAACAATTTCTTCTATCCTTCACACCTTATAGTTACAATGTCAGCTAGTTACAGAGAAAGTGCTGTTTCAAGAACTATATAACTAGTTACAGAGAAAGTGCTATTTCAAGAACTATATATTTACAGTAAGTCATTATACATTAATGGTAGGTCCTATCGCCAATACATAATAGTTTGACCAATGGAGATATTACAGAGTCATTGAGGAACTTCTGTTTATTATTAGTCTTCACAATACACTACTTGTTTCTGAATCTCATATGTCGTTTATCTACTGGAAGCGAAATATGGATACAGTGCAAGGATTTCAGGTAATTTATCCATGGTAATAAGATAAGTTGCCATATCATACAGAGTGAGCTTAGATTTATCTCTAAATGGCTCAATTTTACTACAGTCCAAGATATAGTGTTCGAGTGTGTGTCACTGTCTTTGTCCACACACTTTACACTTTACTTCATCTAGATCCCTATACAAGCCGAACTACCAGACTCGTATAAGCCAAGTCTTATACAAGCTGTGACAACATTTGTTAGTCTACTTACTTTGTTACTTGCCCCATACACATGTTTTACTTCACACATTTCATTGTGATGAACAATGGACCTGCTAGTTCCAGTTTGCACTGTTCTACTTTCTTCAAATTCATCCAGGAGTTCTCGTCTAATGACACTTTTAAAGGACCTATTTGATAACTCAAGATTCCGTTCAATACTGTCTTTATTTACTGCAGCCTTAGCAAGGGCGTCAACTTTGTCATGTTCCTGCAGGCCAATGTGAGAAGGAATCCACAACATTTTTATATTTACCCTCTTGCTAAGTATTCTTATATATCTACGTCTAGCATCCAAGACAAGCACGTTATTACTTGATTGCAAACTGTTTATTGCCCGTAGTGAGGAAAGGGAGTCAGAAATAATTAAGCTGTCTACTTCAGTGTTGTCAATAGTTTCGAGTGCTACCAGTATCGCTACCAACTCGGCTTGCATTGTGGACGCCCAGTTACTAATTCGGATATTCCTTTGAATTGTGCTGCCATCGGGCTGATGAGCAATAACAGCACTTCCTGCCCTCCCTGAAACTGTATTGACTGATCCGTCAGTGTATATGGTCTGTGCAATGTTGTTTTCAGTTTGTATGTTGTGAATGTGTTCTATGGTGCTTAATTTAGCAGCAAGCTGAGTATGAGGATTGTTTGTGATTAGTTTCTTGGTGGGGTATGCAGGGGTCAGGATGTCAAAAGGTACTATCTGCCAGGGTGGAAAGAAGGGCTGTACTCTTTCATCTGTATACACATCGTGCAGTCCCATCATTTTAATATGAGTGGCTGTTCTTTGAATCCATTTAGACTCGCTAGTTCCATTTCGTATGTGTTCTAACAGTGCAACTGACACAATGTTGTTCTTGTTATCACGCAGAAGCTTTAGTCCCATCATAAAATTAATTTCAAATATTCTATCTCTAATGCTAAGCATATTTAATTCTTTCCGCATGTTGAGAACTTTGGTAGTTATAGGACAGCCAAGTATAATTCTGAGTGCTTCATTTTTGCATTTTTTCCAGTCTATCAATACATTTGCCATTTTGCAGGACTAAAGCTGGTGCATGATAGTCTATCAGAGACCTTATATGTGCTAAATACATCATTTTTGCTATTCTAATATTAACACCGTACTTAGGGCTGTACCCCACTACAGTTCTGAGAGCCTTGAGCCTGTCGCTACACTGGCGATGTAACTTATTGACTGCAGTTGAGGTACAAGGGACAGAGACACCAAAGTATTTGAAAGAAGAGACATAGTCTATTGGTATGTTATCTATCTTAAGTTTTCGTGGTCCTCTTTTGCTGTTGCCAATTTGTCTGTTAAATACCTTAGTTTTAGCAGCGTTGATTACAAGACCAAGGCTCTCACAAGCTGTATGTATACAATTTAAGACTGTTTGCATTTCGCGGTGGGTTTTAGTATGTACAAGGATGTCATCTGCATAGCTGATAGTGATGTTTGCCGGACTAGTTGGGATTGATTTTAGTAAAGCATTAATTAGAACATTAAACAAGGTAAGACTGAGTACTCCTCCTTGTGGGGTGCCTAGTTGCATTACTTTAGTTTCACTCTTGTAGCCTTGGAACAGTGCAGAGGACTTCCGGTTGGTAAGATAGCCTCGTATCCATTGTAATAAATGTCCCCCTATATCCATTCTCGCTAATTCATACATAATCACTTACCTATTAGCAATATCACAGGCGTTTTTTAAATCAAGAAATGTTGTGTACTTGTGCCTTTTATCTCCATGAACAGTAAGAAAGGTTGTGATACAGTTGTGTACACTTTTACCATGTGTGAAACCATTGATATCAGGTGACATGTGCTCTTTAACTCTATACAATAATCTATTAAGCACCATTCCCTCAAAGGTTTTGCACATGCAACTGGTCAGTGAGATGGGACGGAAAGCATCAGGTTGGTCAGGTTTTATGATGACCTCGTAAATTAAACCTATGAGGCCATCAACAATAGTGAGTCACGCCAAACAAAAAGAAGTACTGGTAAACAGGTCAGACACAACCAGTACTATGATGATGCTAAACTGAAAGAGCTTAAATCAATTGCTAGACAGACAGGTAAAGCATATAAGAACCTTAGAACTCCTCAAATGTTAAAACTGTTTCAGGCCGCGCTTGCAGCGGCAAGGGAGAGAATGACTGAACTGAGACAAAATGAATGGGAGGGTTTTGTTAGTGGACTTAACCTTCATACTCCCCTGGGTAAAGCCTGGAAAGGCATAAACAAAATTATTGGTATAAATAATGGACAAGTTTCACACCCAAACTCGCTACAGAAAGCCAACCAGTTAATTACAAAATGGGCTCAGGTTTCCAGTTTTGGAATGTTACCAGCTAGCACTAGGGAGAAATTGCAGGCGAGGTCCAGAGACAGAAATACTCTCATAAATTTCATGTTGAGCAAGCAACATGATGAATGTGATGTTCCATATACAGATTATGAATTGGATGCAGCCCTCTCCAGGGGCAGTAGCACTGCTCCTGGTGAGGACGGTATCACCTATGATATTCTAAGACTCCTACATCGTGTACCCGGTAACCCATTATTAGAATTGTTTAATGCCAGCTATGTCACTGGGCAGTTGCCTGTATCATGGACCACCAGTCTTACGGTAGCCCCAGAGGTCACCCTTAACCCATGTTGTGGTAAATGGGTTAAGGTGCGTGTCTGGGGCTACCCAGGACCCTCGTCCAACTCCTGCCCTGCCCCAATAATTTTGTAAAATAACATCTACCTGAATGCTACACAGAACTCTAGGGCCCCTGAGGCTCAATTGTGTTCAATTATCATTGTAGTGGTTAAGCTCTAGCTCCATGGTTCCGCTTGATACACTCCTTGAGGTGTATTTCCCTCACACACTTCACTCCTCCCTCACACATCTCACTCCTCCCTCACACATCTCACTCCTCCCTCACACATCTCACTCCTCCCTCACACATCTCACTCCTCCCTCACACATCTCACTCCTCCCTCACACATCTCACTCCTCCCTCACACATCTCACTCCTCCCTCACACATCTCACTCCTCCCTCACACATCTCACTCCTCCCTCACACATCTCACTCCTCCCTCACACATCTCACTCCTCCCTCACACATCTCACTCCTCCCTCACACATCTTACTCCTCCCTCACACATCTCACTCCTCCCTCACACATCTCACTCCTCCCTCACTCACTGGAAACTTTCTCAGTGATCTTTTCAACAAATTTTCAGATTCGCTCACGTTTCTCTCGTGTCGCAGCCCAAATTGAACTGAATTCTTTTCTTGACACCGCGGGCTGAGTAGCGGATGTTGTCCCCTGCTCTAGCCTGAGGGGCTGGTACTTGTACTCATCAATGGTCTGGGTCTAGGCCAGAAGTGTCGGGTCTAGACCAGAAGTCTAGGGTCTAGACCATGTGTGTGTCGGGTCTAGACCATGTGTGTGTCGGGTCTAGACCATGTGTATCGGGCCTAGACCAGAAGTCTCGGGTCTAGACCATGGGTGTGTCGGGTTAAGACCAGATATGTCAAATCCATGTAGTATCGCGACCCAGATTTCATATGATTGTACAAGTTGTGACCATCAGAAGGAAGACCTTCCTTGTCCAGGGGTCAAGGGTCATCTAGGGGTCAAGGGTCGTCCTGGGGTCCAAGGGTCAAGGGTCGTTCAGGGGTTAAGAGACGTCCAGGGGTCAAGGGTCGTCCAGGGGACAAGAGTCGTCCGGGAGGTCAAGGGTCGTCCAGGGGTCAAGGGTCATCTAGCGGTCAAGGATCGTCCAGGGGTCAAGGGTTGTCCAGGTGTCAAGGGTCGTCCAGGGGTCAAGGGTCGTCCAGGGGTCAAGGATCGTCCAGGGGTCAAGGGTTATCCAGGTGTCAAGGGTCGTCCAGGGGTCAAGGATAGTCCAGGGGTCAAGAGTCGTCCAGGGGTCAAGGGTCGTCCAGGGGTCAAGGGTCGTCCAGGAGTCAAGGGTTATCCAGGTGTCAAGGGTCGTCCAGGGGTCAAGGATAGTCCAGGGGTCAAGGATCGTCCAGGGGTCAAGGGTCGTCCAGGGGTCAAGGGTCGTCCAGGAGTCTATGTAATAATATCTACTTGCGGCTTGCTGCCACTTGACAGCTCTTGGTGTTGCACATTGCATCAGTCTGCAGCAAATGACGGAGCTACGGCAACCTTGAGTGTTGAGTCATCTCAACACTCGACTTGATAATGGTCCGTGGCGGACCGAAACGTCGTCATCTCCTCATCGTCTGGTGTGTGGTCTGGTCGTCACATCTTCACCCTCGGTATTGTGACTCGTCGTCTGCATGTGAATCCTGGTGTTCGTTAGTAAGTTGCTTTATGTCTAGCTATTTCCGTAATAGTTCGTTGAAATATATTATTGGTATTTGATTTGTGGGCAATTTTCTGCTCCTCCTCTTAAATTAAAGTACTTATATAGTAGCTATTTGCTGCAAAGTACCAGTATGTTGTGATGGATCAATATATATTAACTTATTTCGCATAACTGATTCATCTTCGACTGTAGTCAACTTTTGCAACACCGGTTCAGTATTATTAAGTATTTGAAGTCAATGTGAGTAACTATTATATAATAACCTGCACGAAGGCTTCCCACTGCGCCCCATTACACTCCACCTTCAGTGCATCGCACATTAAAGCTGCCAATATTTCAAAGCGTCATCATTCTCCGGTCAAGACTCACGTCAGAAGTTGTGTCGCGACTCTATAACCCAAACATGTTCTCTCCTTGGTCTAGTGTTGGGCTCAAGGCCCGTCAACATGTGGAGGGTTGTTAAGACCAACCATCAGACCCTCCTGATCAACCAGCAAGTATTCCTTCGTCCAGAACGTAGTCCAAGACTAAAGTAAACTTTGTGTATATACACCGAGCAACGTGGGTACACCTCAGAGTGTGTATATATCCCTTGTGGTGCTCTCTCTCGTGTGTCTCCCTGAGAGGCTTGCCTGTGTGTTCCCGTTGCCCGGCATCGCTCCCCTGGACGTGCACTGCTCGCCAATCACGGGCTGGCAAATACTTCGTCATTGATTCTGATTCGCTGAGCAGACTAACCTGAAGGAAAACATTGCGCTATTTCCCGGATATAAGAAGGGAGAATGTTCTGTTAGCAAGAACTCCAATTATGCCTCGGTAAACAGCGTGTGTTGCATTCTGATTGGCTAGAGGTGCGAGCCTCGACAGTTCAGGCGACGATTGTGATACGCTGTCAGAGGGCGAGGAGCACTTGGAGCTGGAGAGTGTTGATAGCAACATGGTGCTTGGCTTGCTAGTGTGTCGCGCCTCCGCGGTGTTGAAACCTGTTAGCGTTCCTCTTGTATTGATGCAGGAGAAGGTCTTCCTGAGGACAGGCCGGCAGACTAGGTCGTTCTCCGGACATAAACGACAGGTAAGACCACCTTGTTTACGCGAGTATAGCTGGACATTGTCGTCAGATCCTAGTAAACTAGGACAGGATTCGTCAAGAGTTTACGGGATCACTTTACGAAACCTGTTCATCTTTCCTCAATCGTGTCGGTTTTGGTTGCATATATCTCTTATGAGCTCCTAAGAGCTACGAAGTTCTCAATAATAATAATAATATTGATTTACCAAGTTTCGAAGATCGTAAACTGTTTAATAAATAAAGGCTAAGCCACTATGATCGAGGAAAGATCTACAGGTTTCGTAAGAGAATACTTAAGTTCTTGATGAATCAAGGCCCTGGTAATCTTGACTATTAAGTCCGCATTAATCTTAAGTCTAGTAATTGTACAGAACTGGAAGGGCAGACTTGGACCTGTGTGTTAACCGCAGTAACCCCCCCCCCACCACCACTCCCCCCACCCACCGCTCCCCCCACCACCGCCCCCCCCTCCCACCGCCCCCCCACCATCTCCCACCGCTCCCCCACCATCTCCCACCATCTCCCACCGTCCCCCCACCATCTCCCACCGTCCCCCCCCCCACCGCTCCCCCACCGTCCCCCCCCACCCACCGGTCCCCCACCGTCCCCCCACCGTCCCCCCACCCACCGCTTCCCCACCATCTCCCACCGTCCCCGCCCTGCACCGCCCCCCACCACCCCCGCCGGGCACAAATATGTGCTTCAATTTCCAAACCACATAAGATGCCAGTGACGATGGCGGACAATGGTGAGAGGTTTTCTCGGAGAAAGTTATGATGGGAAAGCGCCAAGCCATTGCACCTATATAGCACTTGGAAGGGGTCAGGATATGGATTTGGGATGGGACGGGGAGGGAAAGGAATGGTGCCCAACCACTTGCACGGTCGGGGATTGAACACCGACCTGCATGAAGCGAGACCATCGTTCTACCGTCCCGCCCAAGTGGTTATCTCTGAGCATTATAATCCTGCTCTCCCTCCGAGATCAGTCTCAGTAATGCCAGCTGAGCTGTTGAGGATTGTGTGCTGACCACTAACGACTGTCAATATTGTCCATGGATAACGCCGTCTACGACCACACCAGCTCCCGGTCCTGGTAAGGAGAGTTACCAAGTCAACACCCAACGTGTGTTCTGTCTGAAGTAATGTTTGGAATGTGGTATTGGTCTCTGGGAGTGGGGAGGACACACGTGGGAGCTGGGACACTGACGGGTCTGCTGCAAGAGTCGAGGTTACATATTAATAATCGGAGAATATTAACATTTATTTATTAATATATATACAAGAAGGTACATTGGCATTGTGAGGATACATAGGATAGTAGTTACAATCTTGTAAAGCCACTAGTACACGCAGCGTTTCGGGCAGCCATTTCTGACCATTTCTAACAACGCCGATACAGATGCCACTAAGAAGTCGCTATTCTGATAAGATTATCAATTCCGAGTCTTTTAAAAAATATAGTTGGATACTTTTTCCTGTCAATTTTCGTGTTTTAGTTTGGAACAATGAATGCTTGACATTGAGCATGGTAAATGTTATAATAATATAATAGATTTGTTTGACAATAGAAAACAATTGGTTAATGCAGTATAATGTTCAGTAAGACGCCTGGAAACATTCCATTATTCACGTGGATAAATGTGTCTGTTAATTGGGAACTAAACAATAAAATGAAATTTATAATCTTATTTCAAATGAAGTTAATATTGCAACACCAGCTAAGTCAAAGCGTAAATAATTGCTTGTTACTCCGAGTAATCCTTAATCTGCTCAGCGCTCGAAAGTCAAACTGAAAAAATGTAATTTACCCATTAAAGGTATATCACTTTACAATACAATAATTTTTTTAATCTTTTTTTTTAATGAAATTACATTGCAAAAGTAATTAAATTACAACGAAATTCGTTCTTGTTCCATACTGACAAAGCCATCTTTAACCCTCGTATTGCAAGTACAAGTAAATTAACACAAGCTATTTACATTTCAAACCAAGACACTTAAATTGTGATGCCCCAATAACAGTGTCTCTTCCTTCCCTCCGTCCCATCCCAAGTCCTTATCCTGACCCCTTCCCAGTGCTATATAGTCGTAATGGCTTGGTGCTTTCCCCAGATAATTCCTCCTCCTCTCCTCTTCCTACTCGCAATACAGAACTTGATTCTTTACTTCTAGCGGACATAATGAATCTTTAAGAGTATAATACTTTGATTGTTAATGGTCATCACTTCAACATTTTCAATTATTACCTTAGAGGACAAATTTAATTAGTTGGTAAATGTTAAAGAAGCGTTGTAAGAATCAGAAGTCATAGTAAATTAATCTCTTACTGCGATACCGGTTGGATTACTAAAACATGCTTTATTTAAAAGATTATCGTTGCCTATTAATCCTCTCATTATCAATATTTGTGGAATATTATTTGTTATAGTATTAAAGGCATGAAGCTTGTCTTCTTTAACGAGAAACTGATTTTTTATAAGATATTAGGAAACCAAGTGCCGCGGTGATGGAGCAATGAGGAGAACACTGTAGGCCAGGCCCCGTGTGCCTGTACAACCCTTGACAGGTGTAAGCCAGGCCCCGTGTACCTGTACAACCCTTGACAGGTGTAAGCCAGGCCCCGTGTACCTGTACAACCCTTGACAGGTGTAAGCCAGGCCCCGTGTACCTGTACAACCCTTGACAGGTGTAAGCCAGGCCCCGTGTACCTGTACAACCCTTGACAGGTGTAAGCCAGGCCCCGTGTACCTGTACAACCCTTGACAGGTGTAAGCCAGGCCCCGTGTACCTGTACAACCCTTGACAGGTGTAAGCCAGGCCCCGTGTACCTGTACAACCCTTGACAGGTGTAAGCCAGGCCCCGTGTACCTGTACAACCCTTGACAGGTGTAAGCCAGGCCCAGTGTACCTGTACAAACCTTGACAGGTGTAAGCCAGGCCCCATGTACCTGTACAAACCTTGACAGGTGTAAGCCAGGCCCCGTGTACCTGTATAACCCTTGACAGGTGTAAGCCAGGCCCAGTGTACCTGTACAACCCTTGACAGGTGTAAGCCAGGCCCAGTGTACCTGTATAACCCTTGACAGGTGTATGAGGACAAGCTTGGTTATGAGGTGTTTTATGTATACCACCAGATCCTTCTCATTCACTGGCTATCACTCTCATCTGTTATCATTTGTTGTGGTTGAGGTAAGCAGCCATCTGTCAGGCCACTACTGGGGTGCGCCCTAAGCTTCGCGCCCTAGGCTTCGCGCCCTAGGCTTCGCGCTCTAGGCTTATTAATGATGATTATAAATCATTTGAAAACATTGTTACACTTGGGGGGGGGGGGGGAAGGTTTAGGAGTGTGGATGTTGGAATGTGTGTGTTTTGACACTGGTTTGAGTGTGTGTTCCCCCTCCCCGCTCAGCTCGTTGTCGCCGTGTGGGGGCTTAGTGGGCGGCTGCCGGAGTGTGATGCTCCTTGGGACAGTCCTCTGTCCTTTTCTAGCCTTGTGCTCCTGCTGCCGTCCTCTCCAATTCTGCTGGGCATCTTTTCCTTTTCCTTCTGTTTCGTTTTTCTCCCCCCCTCTTCTCCTATCTGCTTGCCGTTTCCTACCGACCTTTTGCTCGTTCTGGTTCTTCCCTTGGACTTCTTCTATTTTGACGCCCGGGTGCTTGAGGAGGCATACTCATGCACCCGTAGAACTGCAGTACCCGACGTCGAGAGCGAGGGGAACCTTTTCTTGTCAATCCCCACTTCGTCACTGAACCCGATCTCGACGGACTGTCGGTTTCTTAAGGTGGCGTTTGTGGGGCGTA